TACCTATGGGCTCCCCGAAAAATTGTGCAATTAGATCACCAATTTTCTGGCTGATCGTAACAATAAGGTCGTAGTAGACGGTGCATTCTCCGATTACAAACCTATTAACGCTGGTATTTCACAAGGCTGCGTGGCTATCAACAACGCTGTTTCTTCTAAATATCAGTGATATGTTGCAAACTGGCAACGTTCATTGCTTTACAGACGACAACACTGGTGATGGTTTATGCACCGGCCGTGCTAATATTTCTTGGGAAAACGTCATGGAGTACCGGAACAAACTTATGTCTGTAGTTGAGACATTGTTGAACGAAGTCTCGGAGTAGGGGTCGCTAAATCTAGTCTACTTTAATCGCCAGAAGACACAAATTTGCACGTTTACCGCTAAAAAGAACCCCTTTGTCGTTATCCTCAGTTTCAGGGCATTCCTCTTGCTGCCTCAACCAGTATCGGAATCCTCGTTGTTGATATTTTTAATGACAAGCAGTTTCGTGATCACTTGTAATAGAAGGCAACTTGGTCTCTAAAAAGGTTGGCATGCTTAGTGCCTTTACAAGGCGCAGGTTTGGCGTCAGATGGAATACTGTTTCCATCTCTGGGCTGGGGCTTCCCAGTGCCAGCTCCTTCCATTTAATCGCATCCAGCGCATCATCATATTTCGTATGAAACTTATTTATAATATTATGATTTATTAGCGTGGAATATTTTAATTAATTAACGTTTAACTTAGTTCTTTGATTTGTATATAAGAAAAATTAGTAAAAACTAAATTATAATATTGAATGTTTATTTCTTTGTTTACCTTTGACTATGTCTTATCATAGAGTAGTAAATAAGCGATTACAAAAATATCGTAAGGTATGACTTAAATAAAGTTAAAACGTAGCTAAAATAGTAAATATCTGCATTATAGACACATATGTATGTAAATTAAGTGCCGTTAACTTGTGTTTTATTGAAAAATTATGATAGGAATAATATGTTTTAGAATAATTAAGGCATAGGTTAGGGTCATGTCCATATTCCTAATCATGTATGTATACGTGTCTCGCTTAAATACTAGTGAAGCGGGCAGCAAGGTAGTATTCAAAGGGTGGCGCTGGGTGCGCACATATTTATTAATGTAAGTAACATAATGTAAGCTAGCAGAAAATATACGTACATTATAATATTTCTATAAAATTACGAATGATGGCCAGAGGGGGTTAGGCAGAGAAGTTTCTAGAAAGTTGCTATAGCAACGTTCGGGCCATACCAGAAAAAGAAAGGACAAAGGCGATCATCAAGCCCATTTTATGGAGATATGTCCACACATACTATGTAGTAAACGGAATATGTCAGAGTTAGTCAGTTAAAATCCCATGGTATATCACTTATTCCGTATAATGACAGAGTTACGAGAACGCTCTCACACACATCCGTAGTCTCCCGAACCGAAACTCTTATGCCCCATTTACATTCAGCCCGTTTGGGCAGGGAAGTGAGCAGGGCAGTGGGCAGGGCAGTATGTAAACAGGCTACTCGCGCTGACACTGCCGCTGCCGCTGACACTGCCCGAAATGTCGGTTTTTCGTGCGGAAGTCAAAGGACGGGCAGCGCGAGCGGCAGTGTGTGTTCACATTCAGCTCCATCGCTCACTTCGCGACAAGCGCCTGGATGAACGGACGTGCGTGCCGTCCTGTTATTAAATAAATACGATCTACCAAAATGCCTTTCGAGTGGATTAATGAAAATACAATAAAGTTTTTAGAACTGCTGGAATCAGAAAAAACTATATGGGATTTCAACGATAAAAACCACAATTCATCATCTTCTACGAATACGAATTTTCTTTTTTGAGTTAACATAGTACCTATGTACATAATTAATTATAAATTCGTGAAATTTATTATATTAATATAAAATTTAGTTTAAGGAATTAATGAACATTGACATTTTATTTCTAAAAACGATTAGTAACTCATATTGATTATTTATTAATTAAAATGTAAAATAAGTTAAAAGGTAATATTTGCATAATAGCCTGAGATTTTTAAATTAAATTTACGAATTAGTTTATACTGAAGTGTAATTAATAAAATAATAATAGCTTAACTAATCTCATATAATATTTAATATTATTTATGTAACAATAATATAATAATTCAGTTAACAATTTATGAACAATTTACTGTATAAGAATTCAAATAGAGTGGATCTGTATAAGTATTTAATTGTACATAATATTTGAATTCAAAAAGAATGTGTGTACCTAACTTTTAAGCAACATCGGGTTTGTGTAATTAGCTGTATTTCATATCATTTTTCCATGCCAATTATGACAAAACATGTCAGTTCCACGTCATTGATCATCTTATGTACCATGTTTTTAAGCAAATAAATTTTCTATCTATCTATCTATCTTCTTTTGAACTTGATATCTTTTTAAATTATTAACATAATTTTGTATTGCAAGAAGACACAGCGCGGACGCTGTAATTATTTCGACGTCCGCCATAGTCGAAAGCCGAAAGCGATGTGAGTGGTAGGGCAGAGTGTGAATACACACTTCCCGCGATCCTGCTACGGCAGTATTTAGGGAAGTATTGCCGGCAGCGCGAGGAGCAGTGGCAGTGGCTGAATGTAAATGGGGCTTAAGACATAATCATAGATGGACTCATACACTCGCTAGAACTTTTTCAGATCGACAAGTTAATGTAAGAGTTTTGCTGGTTAAAAGAAGAGAATTGGCGATTACATCATATATTTATTTTATAATATATTGTATATTTCAGCTACCAAATTAAGTTTTTATGGAAAAATTCCTACGCATATGTATCCGCCTCGCGGGTATAAGGGGTTTTATTAAAGATTCAAGGACGGATTATTTCGAACTCGCAAAAGGCTAAATCTGTGTGGTTTTCCGTCTTGGCCGCATATCAAAAAAGCCACAATTTCGCATATTTCCACAATACTCGCAAAATTTTTTATATGGTCTTCTCTCTACACAACATACTTTCCCGAAGTCGTTCAGCAAGGACAAAACAAAACTTGCAACCGAAAGGAAAATTGACTTAGACTATTTCCATGATAAATGAATTACTAATGGTACTAGGTGTAATGGAGTAAAACAAACGTTTCGTACCTAATAATATTTAGGGTACCATATGAAATAGGGACGTAATGTTACACATACTCGTATAACAGTTACAATATGGGTTGCTCGTACTTTTGGGGCTGCAACATTGTTAAAAGGGTCATTAAAGTTAAGCAAATTTCCTCCTAGTTAATATATGGACGGTTTTAAGTACTAGCACTTATTCTCGAACGTTAAGTCGTTCACATCGATACTATTGTTCACTCACAGTTGCGTCAAACTATGTTGCAGAAACCTTCAAACACCCGAAAATAGTTAAAATATAACTGGGGATTTCTTATATTTTGTCCCATACTTTTCACAATGGATGGGCACAGACCTCATCACATTGCTTAGTGCAGGTGCAGGGAATATTGCGCTGCGCTGTTATTAGTGTGTTGGTGGAATTCACGCCCTCGAATTTTTTATTCCTTAATCATGCTGATTTCCTTCACCGCTGATGATGTAGTTACTTAACAATCAACTTTGAAAATAAAAATTTCGTTGTTGTAAGCAAAAGTCAACTTTTAAGGTGCAAGGGTCGTGGTAGCTTTCGGTAAACACGCGCACGCGTAAAACTACAAAAATAACATAATATGTACATTTATTAAGTCTATAGAATTCTAAGGTTTGAAGGCTTCACTTATAATGCATAAAAACTCGTATGATTATACCTTTTACGTTGATATTGTTATTCATAACATTACTGATATTTTCATTATTATGTTTCTATTTCACTACACATAGTTTCATATAAATTCTCATTATAGTTATGCCTTAGTTTCTGGGAGAGTACGGTCGTGAAAAGCCTTTTGCTTACTTATTTTACGAGGCGATGGTAAGAATGTTGTAAATACCTTTAACATATTTAAAGTAGAAAGTTTGATTTGTTTGAGTTTGTTTCATTGTATCGTTTTAAGGAAGCCTTTGAAATAAATTATGACTATAATATATAATTTTAACCCTATTTGTTGCCGTATACGTTACTATATTATATTTACTGTATTCCAGCATGTAATATCCTTAGGTAATATCTGCTTTGAATGGTACCCATTTATTTATCTGCAGATAATAATCGAAAGGGTATTTTCCAGAATATTTAGCTAATTTTTGATCTCACCAAAATGGCATAACTAGTTTTTTTTCCTAGGAGCCCATCTGGATAGGTGCTATATCCTCTTACCTTTTTGCCGCAAAATTGTAGTACCAGCAATTCTATGTTCAAATGTGGAGAGCAAATTAGTATAATTCCAGGCTGTGAGGTATTCTGAATCCCCAGAGATACCAACGCATCTGTAAAATTTTATGTTTGAAATTAATTGCAAGTGTCCACAGGCTGCTGCAACCACTTACCATTAGGTGGACTGTTAATTCGTTTGTCACTTCAGTTTCATAAATTAAAAACATATTAGCAACATTTTATGTTACAGTAAAAGTAAGAGTAAGAGAAAGTATGTTTTAAATTATTGAAAAAGCGAAAGACTTAAATATAATTAAAAAACACAAATAAATACCTCCTAAAATCTGAAACCACAATCTAAATCGATTCCGCATTTTGACATTCGAGTCCAAGATCCAAGTCCGAGTTCGAGACCCAGGGACTGCGAAAACTTGCAACACAGGCAGAGCTGTTAAAGCGAAAAGCCGTAGACAGAAGCACATCGCTAACCGAAAGACTAAAAGTGAAGAAATAAAAAAATAACATTTTGTTTGTTTTATAAAAATTAAACTAATGAATATTAATTGTTAAAATGATACGTTTGTACTTGGAAAACGGTGTTGCTTACGTTTGGAATGCTGACGATTGGCACTTACTTCGTACGAAACATCGCGTTTGTGCTCCGTTCCTTCTTTACCACGACAAAATGATTTCCAAGGATTACCAATGGCATTAATGTCTGAAGAAACAGCTTTGTTACTTGAATTGGCTATTTGGGAGTTATGTGTTGCAAAGAATCTTTATGAAAACCGTTCAGAAGAACTAAATATAAAAATTCAAGATCAAAGGATTTTAGTTGAGCAAGCAGAAGCTTTTAGGAAAAAGAGAATTGAACAAATTTCACAGAAAATTGATATTATTGTTGCAGGAAAGCAGGAAAAGTTATTACTTAAAGGGATTACTAATGTTCACTTGGATAAACAGACATTACTACAGGAGGAAATAAATAAATTCCCAAGTTTAGCCCCATCACAGACATTAGTGCATTTACCAACAGAACATCCTAGAGAAATAGAGATAACTACAGTGCCAGTTGATATCTTACAGCCTAGTGTGGTCGACAAAGAAGGCAACATACGTTATAGCATTTTCAAAGACCTATGGACAAAAGGCTATTATATAACAACTGGATCCAAATTTGGATCTGACTATTTGCTTTAACCAGGAGATCCCGTGCGATTTCATGCTGCATATATGGTGCGATGTGTGTATGATACAATGACGTTTTTCCGTCCTACAAACTTAGTTGCATTTGGTTGTTTATCTGTTGCTGTAAATAAAATAGCTGTATTAGCATTCTCTAATAGATACGGAAATATTGAGTACCAAAGCCTTCAGTGGCATGACAGCATTAATGGATAAAATAATACGTATTAGGTTTTTTATATGTACATAGTATTTCAAGGCGAGTTTACAATCGTGCCCAACTGACTTATTTAAGTCAATTTATTTTAAAAGCTTACATACCCACATCAATAAATTTGACCTCGTTATTCACTATATCAGATTCAGATGTTATATCACTAATATAACATCTGAATCTGAAAGGTGACACTTGAGTTATTGTGCATACTATTTAAAAAAATGACTGAATATAATAACCAAATTGCAAATTCTATACAACGGGATATGAAATAAATTTTATACGTGGTAGAGCCATGCTGCAGTTATATTAGTAGTATAGTTGTAGCACGAATGGGTCGGCTTGACCGGGGAAGGACCACGCTCTCACAGAATACCAGCGTGAAATATTAGCTTAATGTTGCTGTATTTCGTATAGTGAGTGTAGAGAACCGGAGACCCTTTTTACTGGAAACGAGGTATTCCATCTTAGTCCTCACGGGTGACAACGCATCTGCATTTTGATTTGTAATCGAGGATAGATGTAGATGTCTATGGGCCGCAGCAACCACTTACCATCAGGTGGACTGTGTGCTCGTTTGTCACCCTATCCTATATAAAAAAAATATAAAATATTGCGCTTTCGGTTTGGATATGATGTGACAATCCCGTATTTTTAACTTTATTTCGCTATCATCATCATCATTACAGCCTTTCACAAGTCCACTGCTGAATATAGGCCTCCCCCAAATAATGCCACAAAGCACGGTCCTAAGCTACCTGCATCCATCGACTTTCTGAATGTCTTAGCAGGTCGTCACTCCATCTAGTACACAACGCCTACCGGTGCGAGGCTGCCACTCGAGAACCTTTTTTCCCCAATGGTTGCCGGTTCTACGAGCTGTATGGCCGGCCCATTGCCACTTCAGCTTACTCATCCTACTACGCCGCATGTCCTAGGTTTGAATACCAGCTGTAGCGAACATTAGAGCATTATCATACTTTTATAGTTTCCGAGCCTGATTATGGTTTGATAAAGAGCGTTATACTAATAACCGATAGGCACCATAATTCCTTTTGTAAACTTAGATCTGGATATTAATATTATTAAAATTCACTGGAAATATATATATATTTTTAATTTTATTATAGTATTTAAATCTTATCGTGTTTTGGCATGATTTTACAATGAGAGAAGAGTTAATGACTTTTGACTTTCTAAAATACTTTTGAGGAAATGTACTTTTTTTATAATCAAACCGACAATGTTCAACTTGTATAGGAGAAAAGTAGTTTTTACATCTATATGATGCTCAATGCTGATTTTCTAAAAACTTGTCATTATATACTGACATCAACCGTCGCAGTGGTATGTGTTTGCCGGAATTAGTACGGCAAGCTCTAACGGTGAACACACATCGTCGGCGAACACTGCGTGAGTTATTATGGTGAGGTACTATTAATCCTATCTAGTTTAAAAGCGCTGGGCAATCAAAATTATTATGACAAATATTAAACAAAAACATAACCTGCAATAATAAACGTCTCGATCTAATTGTGATTAAGTTATATTTAACACGAAGTTTATCATATGAAAGAGTAAATATTTAAGACGATAATCCATGGTGCGTAAAAACTTGCTTTGAACTCTTTCTATAGCTTCACTATATTTTGCATAGTAGGGGTCACATATTTTTTTTTGCATGGGGAAATGCCTACGCATACCCGCCTCGCGGGGGCAAGGACGGGTTATGTCGGACTCGCACCGACTAAAACCCCATGGTGTTCCACCTTTGTCGCATATTGGCAGGGCTACGGGAACGCTTTCGCACACATCCGCGCAGAGGAAAATTCCTCCCCGTTCTCCTTCCCAGGTAAGGCGCACCAGAACGCATGGCGCGCCTTCCTCCACGGCCTCCAATTACGTCTGTGCAACACACGCCCCCGCGTCCGATGCACAAAGGCCATGGGGCCAGGAAAAACGAGCACTTAGAAGTACTAGCCTTCCCGACCCCAGTGGCGGATCTGGTCTATGGCTCCGCCGCCAACCAAGATTCGGCTGCGGAGGGTAGGGAGAGCGGCGCCTCGCAATTCCGACAATCCTTTCCCCCCCGCAGCCCCACCACCACCGCATCAACGGTGCGGCCCCGTTTGAGTCGCGAAGGATAGGGCGAGTGGCGCATCGCCATACCAACACTCCTCTTCCTCCGCGACTCCACCTCGGCTGCAGCGGTAGAGGGTGCGCGAGTCCCCACTCGCTGCAGTCCACCAGCACACATCCGAAGTGGGCTCCCCAAGCCCACTCGGAGTGGCCACCTCAAGCCGGCCCTTAACCTCGGGCCAGCCACGTGGGTTCCTCTTTGTTCACCGTGGGAGACCAAGCCACGGCTACCAAGCCCCCCGCCACGACAAGGCGGGAACCCGTTCAGGGGGGAGGCGGGAACCCGTTCGGGGCGGTTATAAGTACTTACATCTGACAAAAGTACTCATAAAAAGGTTAAAAACGACCCAACAAATAGCACACTAAAAACAACTAGTGACCTCATAAAGAAACACTCCAAAAAATTAAATCTGGACGTAAAATGGATAATACCTACGTGCGCCAAATCATTAAAATTGTATGGGTTACCAAAAATACACAAGACCAATGCTCCATTACATCCCATAGTGAGCCAAATCGATTCACCAACTTACAGATTGGCTCAACACTTAGCGAAAATACTCTCACCACTCAGGGGACATACAAGAGCACACATAAAGGATTCCTACCAGTTACAGAGATTAAAGACAATGAAACTATGGTCAGTTTTGATGTGCAGTCATTGTTTACATGCTTACCTGTTGAAAACTGCATCTCAATTGTAACTAGAAGGCTGGAAGAAAACAACATGCCCGTAGAATATGCAGTATTACTCAGACACTGCCTTACATCTGGCTATCTATTGTGGAAGGAGGAGTTCTACGAGCAAGTAGATGGGGTGGCGATGGGCTCACCTGTATCTCCCATTGTCGCCGACATATTAATGGAAGACTTTGAGGAGAAAGCCCTGATTAGTTCTCCCATAAATCCAAGGTTCTACAAGCGGTACGTAGACGACACTTTCACAATTCTACCTTTAGATAAAGTAACTGCATTTTTAGACCATCTTAACTCTATAAATTCTAAAATTCAGTTCACAATGGAGTTAGAGGCAAACAATTCCTTAGCTTTTCTAGATGTGTTAGTAATTCGGAATCCTGATAACACCTTGAGCCATACTGTGTATAGAAAAAAGACCCATACAGATAGATATTTAAATGGTGATTCTCACCACCATCCTTCACAGTTAGCTACCGTGGGTAAATCTTTGTTTCAGAGATCACGAGGGATCTGTGACAGTAAACACCTGGCTGCAGAGCTCCACCATGTCAAGCAAGTTTTGCATGAAAACAAGCTTCGAGTCCCGCGCCTACGTCACAGTGAACGAGTGAAGCCGGCCACAGTCGAGCGTGTACCTGCTGTACTGCCATATCTTAGACGAGTCACTGACAAGATTGGCTACATCTTGAAGCGCGCTTCCATCAAAACATACTTCAAGCCGCCGAAGAAGATTGGTCAGTTTTTACCATCGGTCAAGTGTAATGTCCCTCTGCAAGATGCAGGAGTGTACAAGCTTGATTGTGAATGTGGTCTCTCCTACATAGGACAAACTAAAAGATCAATAAAAACCCGCGTTAAAGAACATATAGCTGATGTGAAGAATCGACGCTCCGGGAAGTCTGCAGTCTGTGAACACGTACAGGATCGCCCCCGTCACTACATCAGATTTGATAGACCGCAGATCCTCGCTAAAGAACACCGATTCCTTCCAAAGGATGATTCGCGAGGCTATTGAAATCAAAAAACATCCTAATTTCAATAGAGAAGATGGCTGGGTGCTACCATCTGCTTGGGATCCTATAATAAATAAAATTAAATCCCAACCCAAGCATACAACTGCAAGACTTCAAGATACCATAAGTTCATACTGCATAGATCGGAACAAAAGTTAAATTTTAATCTATGGTAACCGCGGTTAACTATGACATATGGACGTTGAACATCTCAGTCCTGCCCGTGACCATGAGTGCTGTAAATGAGGTATTTAAAAAGTTAAAATATACGCGATAAATTCCGTAAAAACTAGTATTATTTCAATGTGTAGGGTATAGTTGAATTTAACCACTTTTTGTTTTTAGTAAAAGATATTGTAAGATACTTTGGGATACTAAGATAGTTTATTTTTTAGACAATACAAACTCAAATTCTTAAGATATTCTTGAAAAAGTAAACAATCATTTATATTTTTTATAATTTTATAAGCCTTCAGATCATCAGCATATAATAAAAAATTTGAGTGCTTAAAACATTAATTTATGTCATATATAAAGAGGATGAAGAACAACGGACCAAGGATAGATCCCTGTGGCACACCAGATTTTACTGTTATTGTAATGGAACTGTGGCCATTTATAACAACTGTCTGGGTCCTATTTAAAATATATGAATTACTTTATCAAGATTAGGTGGTACATAAGCAACACTAATGATATGTTTAGTTTTACTATGAGAGACTATACTTTATCACATAAATGTCAAACAATTCAGTAAAATACCGTGAAACGTCTTAAAAGTTTAGGACCAATTTTCCAAAATAAAAGGTACTCTCGGACTGGGCGTCAATGATAAAATTGATACTATATTCTTCATAGGTTTTGTATTTATTATTGCTTTAAACAAATACCAACACTAAATAGACAAAATATCAAAATATCAAATAAGTTAACAATATAATTTAAAA